GACCCAGGAAAAAAAAAAAAAAAAAAAAAGGAAAAAAGAAGGGTGCTAAACATTGTGTCTTGACCCTGAATCTCCAAGGAGGGGGAACATCTTTTGATAGAAGTGTTCATCTGCCACTTTTTCTCCCATTTGTACAGAATTTAGGAAACAGAAAGGAGACAAAATTAAATCGAGCCTTTTACAGGGCCAAGAGAAAACAACACATTTATTTTGACTTTTCAGCTTTTAATGATTACCATTATCACAGTTTAAATTCAGTTTACTTTTTTTGCCATTGATATTTGCAAAAACAACTTTAAAATGTGTACTAGCCATATCACACAGTGGCTTCTCAATGTGTTTCCTTCATCAAAAAGACAAACTGAGCCTGAAGCTCCTCTTGGATCTTCTTAAGATATAACCCCAAAGAAATGGTTAAGATGACAGAGATTTTAATTACACCTTTCAAAAGCACAGGCCCTGAAATCAAGGAGAAAAACCCTCAATACTAGTCTTTGCCACTTCCCACTTCCCTTAGGTTCTCCAAAAGTCATTTGTTGCCTAGTACTTGGGGATAATAACAGAACTCACTTCACAGGAGGATTATGCAAAAGAGCATTGCATGAAATCCTTAACACAGTGTCTACCGCATTAGCTATTATTATTTTCATATTATTTATGATGACTTCATCAAAACTTTAATTTATGATGCTCTTGTCAGAGTTAATGGCATCATGGATGACTCATTTCCTAACATAACTGAAAAATAGGTTTCAGCGGCTATAATAGTTCAGTCTTAGTTAATGAACTTAAACAGCCAATCTTAAGACAATAATGAGTGACAAAAACATACATTCAAACCCAGAACTAAAACATACATTCTGTCCACTAGCCCGTTTTTTATATATTAGGAATTAATACTGTAAGTCTTCAGTAGAGCTGCAAAGGACTACTATGTGTTGGTGACTATGTGTTTGAAGTATTCAGGCAGAGAAACTTGCCAGAATGAGGTCTTCCCTAAAAATTTCTTGTCAACTTGAGACAAAAATCATATGACAGCAAATCACTGCATATATGTCATAAGCAGAACTCTGTAGAAACTGTACTGGTAGCTGGGATCCGCTTCCCAGAGGCCAGAGGTATACTCGTTAACCTTTTGTCAATAGAACAAAATACTTGACATCCACCATTTAAAGGAGGAGAGGCTTATTTGGCTCACGATTGCAGAGGGTTCCGTCCATGGGCAGCTGGCTCCAGAGCAAAAATATCATGGCAGAAGAGTATGGTGGAGCAAGCTGCTCACTTCATGCCTGCCAAGAAACAGAGCACAAGCAACCACACTATCGAGAGATACACCCTCTAAAGACATAGCTTGGTGAACTACCTCTTCAGCTGGATCTCACATCCTAATAACTCACTCAGCTGTGTATATGAGGGAATTAATTCTCTGAGTATAGCACCCCCACAGTCCAGTCACCTCTTTAAAAGTCTTATTCCAGTCATGTTGACAATTAAGACAATTGGCACAAATGGTATAATGGAGTAGGCTTTGAATTTTGAGTTGAATGCAGCTGGCCCACATCCAGGACTGGCTGTTCATTTGCCATATCACCTTGGGTATGGTTGTCTGGCTTTTCTGAACTCCAGTTTCCTCGTGTATAAAATGGGATCTAATTCCCTCAATAGAAGAGGGTCAAATTTTGAAATGTATGTGAAAGTACAACATACCACTAATAGTGCTAGTATTATTATTGCTAATACTCTTACCATTTCATTATTACAAAGAAACATGAAATGGAAAGAATATGTGTACAGTATGCACCATCATTTCCTCCGTACAGACAGATGTCCCCGGAGTGGTGACAGTATTCAACCTTCTTCCTGGGTGAAAAGTTTTATCCCATGACAGATATTGTGCTTGTTTCTCACATGTGTTGTTATTGCTATAGATATTCCATAAGTGGCATTAATACAAATTTCTCTTTTATCTGAATTTAGGTGACTTGATAGAGCTCATTAGGTTATAAACCAAATTAAATCTATTTTTCACATACTAAATTATTTGCCAGCTCATTCTACACTTATTTTTTAAGTGCTCCGATAGTTTGATATTATTGGTAGCATCGAGCCCAAGCTCCTCCTCCTAGCCCTGGTGATCTGGTCCCTCCGTGTCCTACTTTTTCCTGCCCTGCTCCACTTCTCATGGCTTTCTGAGCCCCTCTCTTCCTGGAACTTCCCTCCCTCTCTCTTCTGAAGAAGTTTCTGGTAAATTCTTCAGCCTGTTCGATATCTCCTCCTCCTCATGATCTCCCAAAGTGAAAGAGTTGCTTCCTTCGCCACACTAGTTTTCCCTCTCTCGCCAGTGTATTTAATGCCATCTATCACTGTATATTAAACTTGGTTCATAGGTCAGCATCTCCTGATGGGCTATATGCTGTTCGAGCACAAGCACCATGTTGGATTCACCCTTAAATATCCAGGGAGGAACGAGGGGCCTTGCATTTAAGTGGATGTTTGATACATGTTTAAACAAAGTGTCTTGAAATTGGATGGCTGCTACATACATTCAAACAGCTAGGTAGTTTTGGTTTCATAGTGCCCTGTCAAGTTTGGATTTCCTGCTAAAGTCTGAACATATTCCAAGTCATTGAAGGATAGTTGGCTTTCTAAGTTAAAAATTATTTTATCATTTGGTACCTAGCTTTCTGAAATGTACTGATGAGAACCTATTTAATGTACACAGTGGAGATGACAAGCTAAATACATACTTTAATAAATAGATTTTAAAATATGGGCCTTAAAATACAGTAAAGTTTGCTTTAAAAAGAAGCATTCATTCTAATAAAACAAGTCTGCATGTGGATTGTCACATGTATGTATACCCAAAAAAGTTAGTTTCTCACTTCATGTCATTGTCTCTTGTATCACATCCAGAACTATTTATTTAATTACTGCAATAACATATAAATACCAAAAGGACTGTTTTTCTTAAAGTAATGAAGTGATCCCACACCTAGTTTAGTCTCTCTCGCTCTTTCTTTCTCCTTCTCCCTCTCTCTCTCTCTCTCACACACATACACAAACACACACAGTGCCTCAGATTCAGAAATTATAAAATTCCAAGTAGAATGCATAAATAAAAGTAAGAAATGTTTTTTTTCTTGTGTAAGTCATATGGAGGTGTTGGTAGATAAAGGAAGAACTAAGAGGGGAGAATAATCATCTGCTGCTCTAAAACTGAAACCTGTCACGTTAACTCCCAACTCAAACACTTAGTTTTAAAGATTTACCTTGAAGAAACCTAAAAGCTTGTATTCTGCCACACCGGCAACAGCCTCAAACTGTTCCCTGTCATAGAAGAAAACAAATCTTTTGCTCTTTTCTGCCTGGGGGAGGCAGAGGGACTGAGGTAGTCCTGTGTGGCTGAATTAGATGAAAGACTTGCCTTCCACCATAGAGACATGGAGTCTAATCAAGTGAAATGAGTTTTGAGATCCTGGCTCATTTCCTAGGGGAGATCAGTTCACATTACAAAATCATGACATCTCATTCATCATAGCTGACGTGGTCTTTGCTCAGGAGAAGACCCCAACTGGGACTAAACCACCTGTCTTCTCTCAAAAAGGGGCACTTTATCCAAGTTAGAGTTGAACGCCTTGGAGTGAGAAAGCTTGCCAGTCTCCAACTTCCAAGCATGTGGCACAGGTGCAGTGTGAAAGGGAACTTAGGGTTAAAAGAGGAAAGACAAGTCTAAGGAAGACACGGTTGTATTTTTAATGACACTAAACACAAATAAAACTGAGCTTCTGACTCGTGATGGTAGGAGAGGCAAGTTTGAAACTCTGTCTTCTTTATCACCTATATTTTATTAAACAGGAGTGAGGAGGAGAATATTTCCAAGTATCAAGTTTAAAATGGCAAAGAAAGTGTCCTGCTTTCCAGGTTGATAAATAATCATTGTCTCTGTTTTGTTTCTTCAGGGCATCATTATAACACCTCTCCTATTGCTGCTTTTTGTAAGTATTTTGATGTTGTCTTTAATATCTTTTATTAAAAATCGCCTACCACCCTTCAAAGAAGGTCATAGAACAAAACAGAAACTTGAATTCTTTCGTACCACTTTCGAAACATCCTTGCAGTGGGGCTGTACCAGGTCCTAAGGCACAGCCACAGAGAGGCCCCCTAATCCTGGAATCCCAGGACGTCATCAGGGTCCAGCTACTGGGGCTCCATCTCCTGGCTAAATCAATGATTACTACAACCTGAAGGCCTGTGACACAGCTCACAAATGTGCCCTTTACTTTCTCACTGGTAGGAACAAGTGTGATCAGTAGCGAGCCAGTGTTTGACAGAAAGAACTTGGACTGGGAAACAGAGGAACTTGGGGTCTGAGGCTGGTAATAATAACTGGCTTCCTCGCCACAGGGAAAACTGCCTCAATTTTCTCATATGTAGAATGGGCAGGACCAACACCTACCCCAATCTGACCCCCTCCAAGGGTAATGAAATGTGCGTTAGAAATAGAAAACTAAGTAGATACAAGCCACTCGTTCATACTACAAAAATTGTTCAGATGACAAGAAATGCTAATTAACTGTCTTATTTCCTTTGGCACTAAGCATATGAGAAATTAGATGAAAGATTATAATAGAAATTAATGTTATCTCATGCTGAGCAAAGCATATGTAATCATGAATGATACCTAAAATATTTTATGAACTGTGCATTTTTTCCACACATGCATCTTCCAAATATAAATCACTCCACTTATCACTGAAATATAGTGGGGATGCGTTTCTGGGAGTGAAATGGAGCTGTTTGACTAGCACTATTTGTCAGTGAATTAAAACTATGGGGAAAATTTATTTAATTATAGTGTAATTACCCAAGTTGGAATTCAATTAGAGTAATAGAGTGAGGGACTTCATTTCTTACCAGCTGTGTAGGAAATAGAGAGGGATAGATATCCTACTAAACAGTTGGATTCTGCATCTTTCATGAAAGACATTACCTTCAAGTAATAAACTGTGGCCTCACCCCCCCTCTTCTAAGATGCTGACTCCACTCTGACAAAGTAAGGAGAGTCAAAGATCTGATCAATTCCAGTAGCAGAACTATCCATCAATGGTTGTTCTGTTCTGTTCTGTTCTGTTCTCTTTTACCAAGACTTGGGATCCCAAGGGCATAGGCACAGACCTCCTTGGTGGGCACAGGGTGCAGGCCTGGCCGAGAGCTCAGCATCCAGTGGGTGCACAGGAAATGGCTTCCTGCCCATTGTAGAAGAAGAGCGCCTTTTGTGACTCACTTAAGAAGAGCAGAATGAGAGGCGATAGGTAGCAGAGACCTGGGGTAGCGCTTCTGAATATCTCAGGCCATGGGATCTCTGGTATCCTATTTTAGCTCATCAGTAGAGGAGAAAATGAGGACTTTTATCCTTCTCCTTCCTGTCTCCATCTCTTCCCAACCTGATAATATTACAGCCTCACATTAGTGCCAACTGTCCTCTGCTCATGGACCCCGGAGTCTGTGAGCTTTAGTTAATTCAACATTGTAAAATAATAGAACTGTAAGAAGAGTGAAAGAGTCTTCAAGACCCTCAGCTTGAAGTTGCCTTCTTGAAGGATGCTTCTTTTTGAGCCAGCTGGTCCCTCCATTGCAGTGGCGTCAGTACACACCAATACATATATCCATGTTATATGACTTTAAACACCCACAGTACATGCTTTTTTTTTTTTGGTCTGTTTAGGTTATCATGCATTTTACACATATGAGGAACCCTCAATCATACATACACACACACACACTGGAGCATTAACCCAGGACTTCATACATGTTGAGTAAACTACCACTAAGCTACACCAAGCCCTTTCTTTTTAAAAATTTTACTTCTGAGAGAGTGTCTCACTAAGTTACCCAAAACTGCCTCATACTCATGATCCTCCTTTTCAGCTTCCCAGATGCTGGGGCTACAATAAGAATTTCTTAAAACCTTGGGTTACCAGGCCTTATTTACTGAGTAAGACAAGAACCTGAGTGATTTAAAATATGAACACATTCCATAAAAGAGGTAGTTTTTGTTTTCCTCAACAACCCTGTTATAGGTTGGATTGTTGCTCCTCAAAAGATATGCTGAAATCCCATTCACCAGGACATCAGAAGAGGCCTTATTTGGAAATAAGACCATTGCAAATGTAATTACTTAAGGCAAAGTCATGCTGGAGGAGGGCAGATCCTTCATTCCATATGATCAGTGTCCTTACGAGACAAGGAAGCAGGGATTAGAGGGCTGAATCTATGAGGCAAGAAATACCAAGGTGTGCTGGCAAACTCCAGAATCTTGAAGAGATGAGGAACATAAGGGGTAAAAAATATGCTTTCAGAGGGAGAATCGTGCTGCTTGATTTGAGACATCCAACCTCCAGAGCTATGAGACAATACACTTCTTTTGTTCTAACCTTCCTAATGTGTGGGCTTTGCCGCAGAAGTCCAACTTGATGCAACCCCTGAACATTCCATTGTCTTATTTTATCATATTTTTAAAATGGAAATTTCTCAATATTCAGGCAAAGTTGCTCGTAAAGGTAGGTCTTGTTCATGGAGTCACAATTCCCTGTGTTATTAACTTCTCAGAGTATTTCCCTCACATTTGTGTTCCACTCGAAACCTGTCTTCTAATTTGTTTCTGCTGCAAGCTTCTTTCCTGTCACTGAGCCTTGAAATGGGATGAGGTGCTTTCCTTCCACCTCACTACAATTCCACATCACTTCCACATAAAATCCCCTGCTTCCTTTGAAGGTTAGGCTATACTATCTTCTCCCTCTCCTTGTTGTAACTGTCAGTAAGACTGCAGGTCATTATCAGGCCAAAAAAAGTATTATAGCTTTTTACCATTGTCTTCTTAGTTGTACCTGTTTTGACACTTGGTATTTTCAGAATGCACATAGTAGATCCTTCCAGTGCGCTGGCTTCTAAAGTCTTTTCCTTTTCTCCATCAAGGTTGCCTTCCACTTAATTTCATCCAACTATGTCAATAGTCAGGCAATTGACTTTATTACTGTTAATAGCCCAGGTCCTTTGATTTCTATGACAGTTTTTCTTTTTTACATAAACTGTTAACAGTCATGCTTATCTTTCACTGCTTCATATTTGCCTGACAATGCACCAAGCCTACCAAAATCTAACTTGGTTTATACCTTCCTACATATGTTTGGATGCTCCAGAGCAAACATACTACAATGATAACTTCCGTCATGAAATTCTTGACAACTCACCATGAGTGGGGCCTGGCCATCCTACTTACTTCCCCTAATTTGTTAATCGTCCACTCCAGAGAATCATTTCCCACCTTCTCCTTGTCTCTCAGATCTTGAGTGCTTCTCTTCCTATCAACTAATGCAGAAAGAAAATAAAATGAGGAAAAACTCGGAAGCAATGAGGGAACTTAATGTAAGATCCCACCTATCTATATTCATATCTTTGCCATATCTCCTATTTCCCTAGATACACTATCTTTTCTCCTAAGACCTGATCCTCAAGTCCTGCTTTTATTGCCTACTTGAGGATATAATTCACACAGATTTCCCTCCTCCTAGAAAATCAAATTTTCTCTCTCCTGGGTCACTTCTATTAGCAACGAACATTCTACAGTATTACACATCTTAAAAACTAAGCCTCACCTTATCCAACCTGCCCTTTATTTCTGTGCTTGCTTTATAAAATGTTATTTAAACCTATTCACCATTGCTTCAATAATATGTATTGAGTCTTTTCCTATAGACCAAATACTGTCCTGGCTGACAATGATGTAACAATGAACAAAAACAGAAGTGTCTTTAATATCATCAAGGCTATATAGTAAAAAGAAACAACGAACAACTAAGTAAAACTACAGTGTGTAAGATGGTCCCAAGTGCTGCATAGAAAAATAAAGTACGGAACAGGAATAAGAAAAGCTAGAGTGAGCTGGAGGAGAACAATGCTGTTTCCATTGCTATGGCCACATTCTGTCTCACTGAGCAAAGATGAGGAGGCAAGGGAATGAGTCTTCTGGTATCCAAGACATAGATAGCAGGGACCAAATGGTCTAGGGCTTTAAAGTTCTTTAAGGATTTTGAATTTTACTTTGAGAAAGATGTAAGAAATTATTAAATAGGTTATGATCAAGGAATGGTGTTCTGATGTACCTTTAAAAGGCTAATTCCAGGGCCAGGGATTTAGCTCAGTGGTTCCACTGCCTGCCTTGCAAGTGCAAGGACCCGAGTTCGATCCCTGGTACCAATAAAACAAAAATAAATAAAAGGATAATTCCAGATGCTAAGTTGAAAATAGATTGTAAGGGAATAGTAATAGAGGAAAGAGGAACATTAGAAAGCTAGGGCAATATGAACCAGAGTCCCTAAGCAAGTCTAATGAGAAGTAAAAAGTAAAAGTTACAAGGGAGGGGAGAGTCAGGAAGACGCTAAGCCTTGAGCAGCTGGAAAGATAGAGTTGTCGTTTTCTAAGATATGAAAGACTGTAGGGCTCGTCACGCGGAGGGATCATACTGAACTTGTTCATAATCTTGTTCAGTATTGGACACATTTAGACTGAGCTACCTTTTTCACATCCAGGTAGAGACATCAGGTAGCAATTGATTGTGCAAGTCCAGTTTACAGGAGAAGTTTGAATTAGAGATGCTCATTTGGGAGAGGACAGCACCGAGATGAATTTTAAATTAGGCTGGAAGACAGTGAAAGTAGAGAAGGAAGATAGAGAACTGAGGTCTCAGGCACTGCAATATTGAGATCAATAAATAAGGCCAAAGCACAAATGTTTTCCTAGGAGGGCAACCAAGAGACTGATGTCCCAGACGTCTAGCACAGAATGTATTTCAAAAAGTCGAGGATAAAGGAGAGTAATCAACTATTTCAGTGCTGTCAAGAGTTCAAATAAAATGAAGTTTGAGAATTGACCATTAGTTTTAACAAGATGGTGGTCAGTGGTGACCTTAACAAGAGCTATTTCAACAGAATTGTAT